ACTTCCCAGTTCACCAGGTATAAGTGCTTATTTTCCGTGTAACTCCATATCCAGTTGTTGATTTATGCCAAATATCAAACTCTTGAATTTATACCCTCACTATACCATGAAGGGTATTTTAAGTTTGTCATGAAGCTGAAACTCATGAAACTGTCACATATCTGATGCATCAAACACGATAGTTGCATCAGATATGTGAAATCGGCAGAAAATGTATATGGGAGCAATTTCTAAACCTGAACCGATTTCAATATAATTGAGAAAATTATTTTTGTTCCGAATTTCGTTACGCACTCCAAATTTTAAGACTATATTTGTAATCGATTAATATATATGTGCATACAAAAATTAAATTATTTGTAGGTTCCTCCGGTTCTGATGCCATATCACCCGTTCCTAGTGGAATTTCAAAAATTTATAAATATAGCCTATCAGGCTATTCTGTACTACACAGGGTTAGATAAAAAACTGCAACAAAGTCAATTGGCATAATTTTTACATTTTTTTGCAAATTTTATTGAATGAAAGCAAACAAATGTCGGAAATTTGTTCGAATTCGTCACGTTTGGCACAAATTATTGCCTTCAAACGGCCAATGGAACCGTCACACTCTGTCCGAAAGTTACTCTGCGGTATTTTGACCTATTCCCGGCGCCAACCTTGCTTTTCAAAATACTCCAGATATAATAGTCCAACGGATTGGTATCCGGAGATTTTTGGAATGTCCAAGGTCTGCGGCCAAAATGCTTACTCACAAAAGGCTTTAATACTCCATCCAGAATCGGTCGATTAATACAAGCGGAGAGCGAACATCGGCTGTTATGACGACCCACACCATCTCAATGGCCGGCGCTTGAGTTCTGGTGGGTAACCGAAGGTGCACGTTTTCAGCTGACCTCTTTGGACAACGAATGTTTTCTCATCGGAGAAAATCGGCAGTTTACCACTTTCGGCCAAGCGAAGCAGCTCTTTTGAGTCTATTATCTTTCTGTTGCTGTGTAAGTTCTTGCACTTTTTGGAATTTCAAAAGCTTTACCCCGAGCTCATTTTTCAATATTTGCCGAATGGAATATTGCGATATGTTCCTCTCACGAGCCATTTTTCGGCCACTGCGACGCGGGTTTCGATCAAGTCGCTCCTTTACTTTTCGAACCATTTCTGCTGTTGTTGCTGTTTTTTCCGTCCACTTCCTTGACGTCGGGCTACGCTACCAGTATCACGGTAACGAGCGATGGTACGAGATACAAAAGATTTATTCTCATTTAAATGCCGGAGTGCTCTTATGATAGCCACTTTTGGTCACACTATCACGCTTGAATTCCATCACGAATAACTTTTTTCTGGAAAACTCTTACCAAAATGCTTTTGTACGCTTGTAAACAATATAATGAGCTGTCACTGAACTAATTTTAACAGCTGTCGGACGAGTGCCTTAGAATTGACAGCAGTCTGAAGTTGGTTGCAGTTTTTCATCTCACCCTATTGCAAATGTAATGACAAATTTAATTTCTTGCATTGATCAAGGCAAAAAACAAACAAAGATATGGTGGAAAATTAAAAACTTGAATTTTTATGGCTTCTAAAAGACTAACAATTTTTTTCGAATGTGGGAGTAAATTTTTTCATTCAGTCAGATCACATCAATGCCGTTTCCGTTGTTACAATTTAAAACAAATACCAAAGAAACTTCTTTATTTTATGTAGAACCATAGCATTCACGTTTACATTGTCCGATTTGCCTGGGTTAAATATAATCCCATCTTATGGTGGAGGAAATAAAAAGTAATGTAATAGATTGCGTCGCACATAAAGAGAAAATAAAGCTCATAGGTGCTGGGTAACGTGTAAAAGGGCTATAGACTCAAAATGGGGTTTCAGTCCAAAAATAATACACTGGCTTCAAAAGCGTAATCTGATATATTCTAACATATGCATTAGTAGTCTGGTGGACTGCTATGGATAAAAAATATAATGCCAAATTACAACAAGAACAATACCAACTAGGGCTTTCGAGACAATTTTATAGGTACGCCCAATATATATTCAGATACAGTATGTCGCGGCCATAGATTCAGGGCGACGGACGAGTATATAAATAAAGGCCATGCGACATATCATCAAAAATTTTTACAGTTAACAACGGGAGAATCTATGGAAAAATGTGTATCGTACCGGATACCTGAAACAATTGTAGCTGCCTCCTGTGAAACATTAATTCCCACCAGAGACTCGTGGATCGACGGATTCCTATCACAAATGCTGACTGGAATCTGTTGTTATCCAGACTATTCAGTGCTAGGGGGAGAGCGAGACTGGGGCTTTTTATTGAAGAACCAAATACCATAATATCTTTCCGCTTACCCGACCATAGTACAATCCTTCAGTTGAAGGTCCGAGCGATTGCGGAGTATCTGAACTGACTTGATGCCAACAAGAGACCGTAAACGTCCTAACAGAAAGTAAGATTTATAAAAAGCTATAATACCCAAAAGTGTAAATTCAAATGAATTTGAAATGTATAAATTCAAACAGCCACTATTCACAACACGGCTCAGTTCGCATTATATGGGTATCAGGTCATGATTAAATTAGAGGTAGAGGAGATAGCGAACTCTCTCGCCAAAACATGCAGGGAATTAGCAACAGTAAACTTGGACAATCCAGTGGCGCTAAATGCACCCCGTCTTAAACACAAAGGCAAAAAACGCCAACATATCCCTTAGGTACAATGAAGGAGGGGGGAAAACACAAAAATTTTTATTACATGGTAAGAAACAGATTAGAGGGGTAACGTGCATCCTTACGGGCACCAGGGCCTACAGGCTCGTTTGAACAAGACAGATAACAGCATATGCAGAGCATGCGGGGAAGATGATGAAACGTTGGAATAATTTCTCTGTCAATGCCCAGCATTTGAAAATATCTGATCCCAATTCTTAGGGAACTACTCCATACCAGCCAGACCTTAATCAGATCATGGTACACGAAATAAAACAGTTAAGTAATTTGACAATTCAACTGAATTTCTACCATAATTGACTGTAAACTTCTTTCAACAACTACTTAGTCTTGAGCGAACAACAGACCTATACTGGCTTAAGGACATGTGACAATTGTTTCGCACATCTTTTTAACCTAATCTAACAGGATACTGCAACTGGTCCTTAGGATGCTTTAGACTAATATTGCGAATTGTTACAAACGGACATGCAATTCTACTTATATGCATACATGTATATCCTATTCTTATTGTCTCTGAAACCAGGATCGTGGAACTAAATTGGCAGCTTTTGTCGTAATCATTGCATAATTACGTATGTATGCATGCATGCTCCACTGTATCATTTAAAACGAGAGAGATTCTATTGTGGTTGTCGTTAGCTTTTTTGGTTTAAGCTAATGCGACGTATTTTTTCCTTACACACTTCTTTTCTTGTTATTGTTGTTGGTGCCGCGTTACTGTCACTGGGATGGTATTGTTGTTGTTGTGGAGCTCTGTGTTAATTTTATATCAATACACGTGAAACAGTCCAGCCAGTTCACTGTCAGCCAAGTTAGTCATTCCGTCAGACATTTAGTCAGTCAATTCACCAGCCACTCATTAAATGAGGCACTCACTCTGCTGCTATATCTGCATACACGCACACACATAGCACCTTCGTATGGATGCACGTACATACATACTGACAGACATACATTGTATGTACGTAAGAAATGCGGTATGAAACGATGAAATGTGATGGTGTTAATGTTTGTGAGCTTTTTTTATTATTATATTTGCCCTGATATTGTTGTTGTTGTTGGCTCTGTTTTGCTCGCTGCTGTGCCGCTTTTGCTACAGGCGGCACACTGTTGGACAGTATGGTGTGCGTGTATTTTGTGGTTTTCACCACAACATGCTGCTTCACAACTGATAAGCTTTACGAAATCGTAAATGTGTCGCATTACTTTAGCTCTTCAAAAACGAAAAAAAAACGAATTCGTACCTCCCCCTCCAGGCCCAACGAATACCGCATTTGACCATCAAACTTCCTGCATGAAATTGAGCTTACGTTGCATCAGCTCGATTTCTACTTCTTATGGTCTGTTGTTGGTCGATTGGGTTGAGTGTGCCGCCAATAATGAAACTCCAAACACTGGTTAAGAAGTCTATTGAAGTAGTAGGAATCGTTGTGATTGTGCCACCATCACAAGACTTTTAAGTTCGATTTTCTCAAGAATGCTGCCCTTGTGTCCGAAAACTTAATTAAGTTTTCTATCAAAATAAATTCTTTAAGGTTTTATCTCGGGTAGATTGGGTAGATTTTGTCCATACTTAAGGTGTAATCAGAATTTTTGTTACAACTGAATGTAGTGTCGCAGACAGTCTTAACATCTTAGGAAACATCCAAAGCCTGAAATTTCAATCAAATCTTTCAAAATAATAATATGAGATTCTTTTTTCCAAAATTTGAAATCTACAATTATAGTTTCCTTATGTTGCAACTAGTGGTCTCTCATCGCTCAGATTTCCTTTAACCTAATCCTTGACCCAATATAGTTAACCAAACTTATATGAACCGTACTTCTACATAAACATCCGCTAGATGCGCCACTCGGTACAAACTCGCGCCACTGCTGTTGGACCCACTGTTCCAATGATCATTCAAACATTTGTGCAATCATTTCCCAACCTTTTTTGTTTCATTATTTTTTTTTGGTTTACTTCGTTTATGCAGCGAACGCGTTGCTTATGGCGTATGCAACATTGCTGTAGCGATTTGAAAGCAGGGCAATGCGATAACCACAGCATGGACTTAAAAATGGTTCGTTGGTTTGGGTTTAAGTTGAAATTTGGGTTTTATACCAATGACATGTTGTTGTTATTGCATTAGCTTCCATCATAGCTACGAACTAACTGACTGACTCATTCACCATGCTATACTACTGACTGCCACAAGCCACAAACAACATTCATTAATGCATTTCACTTCTTTTTCTCTTGTCTTTTTCTTTTACAGACACGTACCTCCGATTTCGATGGCAGCGAATACTGCAACATCAGCGCCGAGGATGTTAAGACCGAAATTGTAAGTTTCTTGTGACTCGTTTTATTTTTCTTCTTTAGCTTTAAGTCGACTTCTACCTTTTATGCCTTGTTGTTGTTGTTGTCTTTGAAATGGAAGTTTATAGCTTAGGCTGCCGTTGCCGTTTAGCTATTAAGCAAAGTTTTATGGTCTTGTAAACATGCATTTAAATGTTGGTCATGTTGTATGGCGTACTAATGACTTCGAGCCATAATCATCAACAACAACAGCAACAAAGTTTTCTTTCAGAGATTAGGCTCACATTAATTTTTATAGCATCAATCAAACAGGGCCACAACCAGAATAACTTTCTATTTAACTTCACGTTGAGGAGTTTTGTGTCTCTTCACATTTCATCAATAGGGCCAGAGCTCTGTGATGAAATTTCCAATATTTGCATTTCTAATGAGTTTGATTTGAACGTGCCACAACTGAAGAGACCCCGAATCGATTATAGCTATTACTGCCATTGTTTAAAATAAAAGCTTGATTCTCACAGACGTAAATTAAATTTGTTTTGCAAAGACAATACACAAAGTATATGTTACTTATCATAAGCTTGGACCTATCCTAACCTAGCAATGGTGTGGTGGAAATGTAGTCTTTAAACATTCAAAGAGTGTAGTTTTCCTAAGCGGGACAATAAGGACAATACTAGGATGCAAGAGACAATGTTTTTTTAGTCACCCATCGCAACAAAAAAAACTGAAGAAAAGTGCACCAAAAAAAAAAATAATAATAATAATAATAATAATAACTAAATAAATAAATGCTGTAGTAACTGTTCCGAACTGTAGGAACTGTACGAAATTTGAAACAATTTCGGTGAATAACGTCGGGAGGAACAGTTATGTAGGGGATATATGATATTGATATATGTATATATGATATTATATATTGACCTGCCTGCAGACAAAAGGCAGATCTGTGCAAAATTTTATGTTTCAATATGGCTATATATTTCGAGCAGTATCTGATGTCCGGTATCACATATCATTGTTGAGGAATGCATATTACGCATGTGAGGGACTCTAACACTAAATCGGATATATATATATATATATATATATATATATATATATATATATATATATATATATATATATATATATATATATATATATACTGGTGGCCAAAACTAAAGCAAAAGAAATTACAAGGAAAACTGTAACTTTTTCAAAAATTAAGAACATTTGAAAGTTTTTCTTGTTTTAAATTAGGTACTTTATTCATTTTTTAAAAACCTAAAACATAATACCAAAATTCATTTTTATATAAAAAATAATGTTTGGTAAAGTCAATTAACCCGATTTTGGCTTGGACAAAACAAAAGCAACTCTGTTGTACATTCATATAACCGCTGCAATTTCAGTTGTTTTTACTGTGATATTTATCGCTTTTTGCTTTCTTCGACAATTTCGCTTGTCATAAATCCTTTTTGAGAAGTTTTTTTACAACAGTATGTGTTTTTCTTTTCGTTTTTTAAGTACTGCCCAAAAAAATTTTAAAAATGGCTAAAAGCAAATACACTACCTGAATAAAACAGCAAATTATCAGTGACTATCAAAACAACATATCACAGAAAATGATTTCCGAGAAATATTTCACAAATATTTATGTGATTTCATAATTATTTCTGTATACTAAGTCGGATTTTTGAAACTGGATCAGTAGTAACAGGCCGTGAGGCCGTGAAAAACTTCAGCCCGTACTGATCCACAAATTGTGAGAGAAGCTAATAAATAACTATTTAAGAGTTCAACTGGATTGGTGAGAGAAAAATCATTGGATATATATATCGAGATCAATGCGTAGACGAGTAGTGGGAGCTGGTCTACATGCCCGTAAGACATCAAAAAACCATTCATGTCTGAAAATATCAAAATGGCTTTCGGAAACGATAATATTAAGTGGAATCAAGCTCAATGGAAAAAACATTATTTCTGGGATGAGTCTACGTTTAATATTAAAGGCTCAGACGTGAAAAATTTTACGGTGAGAAGACCAAAAAATGAAGGACTCAAGCCGCAGTGCTGCAAAGGTACAGTGAAACATGGGGGAGGGTCAAAAATGGCGTGGCGCTATTTTTCTTTCTATGGACTTGGGCCTATCCATAAAATAAAGGAAGTTGTGGATCGGTTTGTTTATTTACAAAGATGTGTTGGACATCACGTTGTTCCCTTACGCTGAGTAAAATATTCGGCTCATTTGGGTGTTTCAGCATGACAATGATCCCAAACTTGCATCAAAACTTGTCAAATATTGGTTGCGGCAGTCAAAAATCGATGTTTTGGCACGGCCGGCACAATCTCCTGAGCTAAACTCCATAGAAAACCTTTGGGGTATCGTAGACAGGGAGATCAAGCGAGATTCGGAAACAAATAAGCACAACTTTTTCCAAAGAATTCGGGAGCCTAGGAAAGCATACCCAAGGATCAAATTGAGCGTGTTATAGATTCTATGCCTCGTACGTGTGCAGCTGCTATCAAAAATAATGGATGCTATCGACTTCTAGCCAAAATTTAATTATTTTAAAATAAAAAATCAAAAAGTTGCTTTAGTTTTGACCAAGCAAAAATTCGGTCATTTTAGTTTTCCCATATATTATTTTTCGTTCAAAATTATTTTTGTATTTTTATTTTATTTTGTATTTCTTAAAAGTAAATTAAAGTCCTCATTTAAAACTGGAAAAATAATTACGTTTTGTTAATTTTTGTAAAAGTTACAGGACATTTATTGTCTTTGCGATTTTAGTTGCTTTGGTTTTGGCCACCAGTGTATATATATATATATATGGACAGATCCTGATAGAAAAAAGTACCAAATACCATTCTTGTGGAGTGCATATTACGCGTCTGGGTGACTTTAAACCCCAAATTGCATAAAACATATACATGAGAGCTATAGCTATATCTTTGCCGATTTTCACATTTTTCCAAATTTAAAGTACTTGCTTCTAAACTGAATTGGGTGCCAAAATGCAGATGATCTAGAGTGATATTGGCCATTTGGTGCCCAATTAACCCGAAATCGGTTAAAGATACATATCAAAATTTGTCTACATATTAAATATTGGTGTCAAGTTCCCACTAGAATAAAGTCAGACAAGTTTTGTACTAAATATATTCGCATATAGTGGAATTCTCTAACTCATTTTTTTAGTTAGTTAATCGGTAACTTTGAAGCCCGAAATATTGGTGTAAAAAAGAAGTTAAAGGTGAGAACTTTAGTATTTATCGGTAGGTCTTTGATTTCGTCGCTAACTTACCAATAAATTTCGTTAATTACCGAAATTATAAGCATTTGTCAGTAACTCAAAAAATGAGTTAGAGAATCGCACTACAGAAATATGTTTCACTCCGCAACAATGTCAAGTACGAGAGGTCACACACAGCTAATTTTTTAATTCATTGTTTAGTGTAAAAAAAATAAAACATAGCTCACATATATTAATTCGTAATCAATAACGATCTTTGTTTAGAATTAGTGTGAAGTAAACACAAATTCTCAATATAAACGTATATTAGTTTTGGATAGAATCGCTAAATATGCACAGTGGTGTAGGGTATCATATAGTCGGCCCGCCTGAATGTTGTTCTTTCCTTACTGTTCTATTTTTTTCGATGCAGACTTTCGAATTTGCAAACATTGTTTTCAATCATCTGGTATTGCAGTATATAGTTTGTTTACATTACCTTTTCATGGGTTCTTTAATGATTTTCATGAGACCCTGAAGCGCGCGTTGATATAATTTTATATAAGTGTTTGCTGCTCCTCACCCACTTATGTCCTTTTTGTGCAATTGTTCTGGAGCCGTAGCAAAAATTCGATCAGAAGAATTTAGGTAGCGTTCTCAAAACGATATTTTCGTCTAATTCGGTACTTACCAACATAAATAACTATTAAATACGAGTATATGATGCATTTATAAAAAAGTTTGTCCTTAGAATGATGTATGGTATTTCAGCTTTGAAAATGCGTTAAAAAATGTTAATGTGTTGCGGAGTTATTTTGACTTCTTACTTATGAAATTTAATGAAGTCCCACATGTATACTGAAATCATAAATTGAATTGCAACATACCTACATAAATTGATGCAATGCATTCCTATCATCAGAAGTTACATGCAATTGATGAGGGCAAAAGAAAACTCAGCAAAATTTATAATTTCTTGAATTTCAGCACGTAATCCAAAGCGTAATTTTCTTTTCAATTGCGATTCTCCGACCCCCTTTTCAGCTGATATTTGTGATGCAAAATAATGATAATGTTTGTTTGAATTTTTTTTTTCAGTTTTCTTTCCCGAATCCTTGCATTGCTTTCGTTCTGCTGTTCAAAATTATAATATTCTTAAGTGCTTTTTTCACTCCCACTTCTTTGTGCTGACACAATTCTAAATTATTTTTCTCATCTTTTTCTTATTGTTTTTCTTTCTCTTATTTTAATCTATTCAACAGTTTGAAAGTGATTCCACCGAGCTAGCTATGCTTGAGAGCGCACGCACTTCCACTCCGGTACCATTGAATTATCACAAACATGCCACTGACTTGACAGTGCAACGCAATGGCAACTCTCTGGGTGGTGTTGGTGGCAGCACCGGCAGCAGTCGTAAACGTAAAGCTCAAATGCATTCAAATGCAAATCACACCATGGATGCCGATGCACCATCTCCCTCTAAATTATTACAACAACATTCCAATGCTATACACTCCAGGCAATGTGATTATCTGAACAGCAGCATTAATGGCGGAGCAGGATTCTCGGCCAATAATAGCAACAATAATAACCATCATGCTGCCTCCAACAGTAGCGGTACCTCTAATCCACTGACAAGCGGTTCAAAGCCGAGCAGCACTCCCATCGACGAATACGGGGTATTCGGTGAATATGTGGCCATAACCATACGCAAACTAAAAACGTCCAAAGCCAAAATAGTCGTCAAGCATCTGATCAACAATCTCTTGTATGAGGCTGAATTGGGCAAATATGATCAGGGTATACCCGCAAGTAAGGAACCACCAGAACTCTATAAAATGTGATATGATTAAAAAGAACTATTCTAAAATAAACAATCATTGTTTTTTGTTTTTAATTTAAAAGGAAATACAAATTATAAAAAAAGATAAAATAATGAAGGTGTTTTGCAATACCAAAATTGAAGTTTTTTCTCTAAAAAATATTCTATGGACACAATTAGAATGCATTTAAAATTAAATTTTGACTATTCGACCCTTCCGAAGAGTATGTATTGCAAACTGCCTTCATATAAATATCTAGAATTTGACCTCATTTCAATTCAAACAATTAATTACCTTGTTTAAACAAATGTTACCTTGAACACTAGTCAATTTGTGTTTCAAATCATAATCAGGGATAAATAAATGAAAACAAAATGTTAAACTATAATTAAAATAAGAAGCAACAATTTTGAAAATCAAACGTCAATGATGTTTATGAATTATAAATAATGTAAAATTTAAACAACTCCATAGCGGAGGAAAGAACTAAATTATTTTATTTTTTGATTGTTTTGTTATATTTACTACCATTATTATATACAAATATGTAAAACTAAGCAAATACTAATGCTACCTACTATTAATTAAATATAAAACTTTATCGAATAGTGTTGAGTTCACATTCGACTTGGGAAGATTTGCAATCAACACTCGACACTATTCAGACAACTCAGGTGCCTTTTTTTTTTGTTAGTCATTTAAGTTTTGTTAACGCTCACTCGCTCCCAGCTAAATGAAATTCAAGGGGAGTGATTGACATATAAGTACCTTATGTTATGAATATACCTACCTACCTTATTTAATTGAAATATGAAATGAAAGAAACATTACTTTTTTTTCTTCTTTTTTTCCACTATTTTATGTTCTCCACTTAATTTTCTTATATGGATCTTAACTTCTCTATACAAATAATTATTATTACATCTATAAACATGAATAAAATTATTAAATATTTAGTTGTATTTAATTGTTACTTAATATTTAATAAAAAACAAACTATTTGTTCCAAAACAACATCTGTCTTTTTATTAACAAATGCTATAGGTAAATTTCTATGTCAACATCAGCAATACAAAATTTTGTTGTAAACACTGATGTAAAAAGAGTTTGAAGTCAGGGTCGATTTTTGGCCTTCTGGCCTAAAAACTATGCTAAGGTTAAAAATTGTTTTCATAAAATTGTATTTCGGAAGTAACATGCCGTCACATAGCAGCTAATTTAAATCGCATAACGTTAGATCCTCGCACAACTATTTGTGATAGTTACCCACAAGAAGGGTGACTTACGATTTAAGTCATATATATGTATATATATATATATATATATATATATATATATATATATATATATATATATATATATATATATATATATATATATATATATATATATATATATATATATATATATATGACTTAAATCGTAAAAATGCCGTACCGTTATATGTGCTTTAGGGACACGTAAACCCACATATTCAATATTCTGCCAACGAAGCTAGAGCCCATTACGCACTACAAATAACAATATGGCAAAAACAATCAAAATAATGAATATCAGGAGGTTCCGATAATAGGTAATGCTTCACTACCGGAGCTAGAGCCCATAGCGAGCCACAAATACTAATTTTTAGAAAAATCCGTGAAAAAATGTAGCTAAAACCATCAAAATACCGAATATCGGAAGGTTCCATTATATTGGACTATACCAAATCGTGAGCCAATACATCTCATTTCCAATATCGAAGCTGTATCGTGATTTCAACACGTAGACGGACAGACGGTCATCTGTAAATCGACTTAGAATTGTATGCTGATCATGATAATACATATTTTATTGGCTTCACGACGAATAATTAGAGGTGTCACCCTCCTTTTAATCGTGGAGGGTATAACAATTAACCCTGATACTATAGATTTTGGAATTGAAACGTCTCCGTAGGTTCATCTTCAAGTAACGGTACTAATCAATTTTGCTGGGTTCTTCCGTTCCCTGAAAGCTTGTAAGACGCCACTTTTTCCAAGTTATGCATTCAGTGGTCTCTTTCACGCCCAAAAGTATGCACTTCTTAATAAGGTTCGAATTTTCAACACATTTTATATGTAGCAAGAGTTTTCAAGACAAAGTTTTACCTTTTCAGTGGCCATGATTTATCAATTCAAGATTTTCTCATCCTGTAAATCTGTAATCAGTAGTAGCTTACGACCTTCACTATTATTATCCTATTTTTTTTTTCATGCTCATAAATAGTTATAAAAAGAATTACAATAAATATACTCAGGGATTTATTCTACATTTGTTCACACCTTTTTCATAAGAAAGGAAATTTAATTTTTGTATTCACCTCATTCCGAATGCTTCTCTTTGAATAATGAGAAATATGATTTTTCAAATTACGACTGCAGCAGCATGCATGTATTCACATTCATCTATCGTTTTTAGTTCATATATGTGTAAACATATACCTTGGTTCTGCATTGATTGCACAACCTCCACTAAATGTTGGTAATAATTTATTTTAGTATTTTTCTGTGCTATTTGCATTTCCATGCTCATTTCAGTTTTTCACATTTTTTTCTAAAATTTTTATTTTGTCGTAAAACTGTTTTTGGTTTATTGCCTTATTGTAGGTCAAGAAAATGCTAATATGTATGTAAGTTGGCTAGTACCCAGACCAGAAACTCAAATGCCCGTATCAGCAGCATAGCTGCGTACCGAGTGCAATGACAGACGGAGCAAAAAGTAGCTACTCGAACACCCCATACGGACCTGTAACAATAATCATATTTAGTAGCATTTTTACAGCTGCAATAAAAATCGCTGCATACGTTCGGGTTTTGTTTTCTTATTTTTGTAACAATATTTCGAATGCTAATAGAATCTTTGGTTTTTGAGAACAAAATTCAATACCATCGAGCACCTGTTGTTGTATTTCAAAGCGTAGAAAATGCCATTTGCATAATAATACTCATGTTAAATATCGACATAAAATATCCCGAGATGGATATACGAGGCTAGTGAAGTCAATTCAAGTTATAAACTAATAATTACAGAAGATGTAATTTGTAAGGAAATGCTCGTGAACTTAGGCATCCCAAAAATTCAGATTTTTTCCCATGTCATGGCAAAACAGGTTAACTCACAGTAGTTATGTTACGAGTCACGGCATCTTTGAAGAAGTACGTTCCAATGATGCCACCTGCACATAAACCGTACAAATTGTGATTTGCTTGTGTACGAAATCACCATGAAAAAGCCAGAAGTTCAGAATGGTTCGAAAAGTAAAGAAACGACTTGATCGAAACCTGCGTCGCAGTGGCCGAGAAATGGCTCATGAGCTGAACATATCGCAATATTCCATATTCAATATTCGTTTGGCCGAAAGTGGGGAACTGCCGAATTTGGTTTTCCCCGATGAGAAAACATTCGTTGTCCAGAAGTTTGTAAACAAATAAAATGATCGTGTTTACTTGTCAAAGAGATCAGCTGAAAATGTGCACATTCGGTTGGCCACCACAACTCAAGCGCCGGCCATGGTGAAGGTGTAGGCCGCCATAACAGCCGATGGTCGCTTTCCGCTCGCATTAATCGACCGTGGCATCAGAATAAATACCGAATATTATCGCGAAATTCTTGGCCGCAGACCTTGGACATTCCAACAGGACTCAGCACCATCGCACTTAGCACCCGACACCCAAGAATGGTTACAAAATGAGGTTCCTCGCTTCATTTCCAGCGCACAATGGCCTTCAAAATCTCCGGATACCAATACGTTGGACTATTGTGTGTGGAGTATTCTGGAAAGCATGGTTGGCACTAAAAATACCAAAGTGTCGATCACCGGGAATGGGCCAAAATATTGCAGAGCAACATTAGGGCGGCGTGTGACGGTTTTATTGGCCGTTTGAAGGCCATAATTCGTGCCAAAGGTAACCATTTCGAACAAATGCTAAATTTGATGCTACTTCCGATTTTATTTGCTTTCATTCAATAAAAATAGAAAAAAAAATGTAAAAATAATGGCGTTTGACTTTGTGGCAGTTTTTTTTTACCTCACCCTGTATCTGAACCAATTTTTACCAATTTTGAAGTACTTGTTTCTAGGATGAATTGAGTCAGAATTGTCAAGATTCAGTTCATTTGGACTGACACTTGGTGCACAATAAAGATATATAGGATAAAGATATATAGGAGCTATACCTAAATCTGATCCGATTTCGATAAAATTTGACAGAGCAACAATGACAAATCCAAATTCTCGTGTAGAGCAGTTCTCCCAATCACATTTTTTTTTTATACCCTCCACCATATATAGTATGGAGGGTATATTAAGTTCGTCATTCCGTTTGTAACTCATCGAAATAATTATTTTAGACCCAACAAAGTATATATATTCTTGATCAGCGTAAAATTCTAAGACGATTTAGCCCTTTCCGTCCGTCTGTCCGTCCGTCCGTCTGTTGCAATCACGCTACAGTCTAAACGAATTAAGATAGGAAGCTAAAATTTTGCACAGATCTCTCTTTTGTCTGCAGACAGGTCAAGTTCGAAGATGGGCTATATTGGTCCACGATAACGTATAGCCCCCATATAACGGTACCCCCCAATATTCGGTATTTTGAAAATTTTACCCATATTGTTCAACGGAATTGTCTGAAAATCCACACACGAAGTTCCTTGTGGGTACTTTATACCTCGGAGGAGAATTATCTATATAGGTCGAAAATATAGTATAGCCCCCATATGACGGTACCCTTCGATGTTCGGTATTTTGATGATTATAGCCACATTTTCTAATGGAATCGTCCGAAAATCCACACAAGGAGTTCCTTGTGAGTACTTCATCCCTTGAAAGAGAATTATCTATATAGGTCCACGATATCGAATAGCCCCCATACAACGGTACCCCCGATATTCGGTATTTTGCTAAGTTTAGTCACATTTTTCAATTGAATTGTCTGAAATTCCACACAAGGAGTCCTGTATGAGTATTTCACCCCCTGAATGAGAATTGTCTATATAGGTCTATGATATCGTATATCCCCCATATAACGGTACCCCCCGATATTCGTTATTCTGATGATTTAGCCACACGTTTTAACGGAATTTTCTGATAATACACACAAGGAGTTCTTTGTGAGTACTTTACTCCCTGAAGGAGAGTTGTCTATATAGGTCCACGATATCGTATATACCCCAAATAACGGTACCCTCCAATATTCGGTATTTTGATGATTTCAGCCACATTTTTCAATGGAATTGTCTGAAATTCCACACAAGGGGTTCTTTGTGAGCACTTTAACCCCTGACATAGAGTTCTCTATATAGGTTAACGATATCGTATAGCCCCCATATAACGGTACCCCCGATATTCGGTATTTTGATGATTTTAGCTATATTTTCCAATGGTATTGTCTGAAAATCCACACAAGGGGTTCTTTGTGAGCACTTTAACCCCTGAAAGGTATTTGTCTATATAGGTCCACAATATCGTATATCCCCCATATAACGGTACCCCCGATATTCGGGGTTTTGATGATTTTAGCCACATTTCCCAATGGAATTATCTGAAAATCCACACAAGGAGTTCCTTGTGAGTACTTTACCCCCAGAGATAGATTTGTCTATATAGGTCCACAATATCGGTCCCCATATATCGGCACCTTCTTTTTATTTTTTTGAAAAATTTCTGATTCGTTCCAAATGGTGGAGAGTATTCAAAGTTCGGCCCGGTCGAACTTACTGCTTTTTTACTTGTTAACGATGGGTTTGAAGAATATGCTGAGAATTTTTATGTAAATAGTCAGCGACAGAGGCGTTTTTAAGGATAACAATTGGTTAATTTTCGAACGATCCCCTAAGAAAAGATTCTAAGTGAGCGTGCTTTTAAAGAGAATTTCACCCCTTCTTGTACATAAATTGATGAACATTTACATACCGCACTCTTTCTAAAATCAACTACAATTATGAATATAGTAAATTTTTTACACATTTTGCATTAAATGCAACAAAAACGA